TGGGAAGTCCACTCTCCAGAGACAGAGCAGAGGGAGTGAGCAGAGGGTGGACACTAGGAGGCCATCTGTCCAGACACAGAGAGGGAGTGAGCAGAGAGTGGACACTAGGAGGTCATCTGTGCAGAGACAGAGCAGAGGGAGTAAGCACAGAGGGTGGACACTGGGAGGTGGGTATCCATCCAGCGCTACGTCTCTGACCGCAGCAGCTCAGGACCAGGACCCTGGGCCTGAGACGAGACAGACCAGGTGCCCCGAATGTGGACTGTCACCCCCTCAGCGGGGGACCACGGCCACCTCCCGGTCAGCTGTCCACCCACACTATCTCAGGGGCCCTGAAGGCCTGAGAGACACAGCCGTGTGGGCCCTGTCCGTCCACGTGTGGGTCCTGTCCATTGACGTGGTCGCTGTCCATCCACATGTGGTCCCTGTCCAGTTGCATGAAGGGAAGCCCCTCACCCCTGCCCCAGGACCCAGGAGGAGGGCGGCCAGGGGTCCCGGCTCACCCGCTGACCAGGTCCACCTTATTGTGGACCTCCACCATGGACTCCAGCAGAGGGGTGGGCAGCTGCAGGCCCCGCAGAGTGGACAGGACGCTGGCCTTCTGCAGCTCCGTGTCGGGGTGGCTGACGTCCCGCACGTGCATGACCACATCCTGCAGGGTGGACACACCGTGGGGTCAGGGCGGCCGGGACGCTGACCTGCTCACACAGGAGGGTCTGCCGTTCCGACCAGGGGCCTGGCGTCCTTAGGACTCACAGACCTTCCTGTGGACCATCCCCAGAGCTGACCACTAACACACCCTCCTGTGGACGGTCCCCCGAGAGCTGACCACTAACTCACACACCCTCCTGTGAACAGTCCCAAGAGTTGACCACTAACTCTGACCCCATCCTGTGGACAGCCGCCCGAGGGCAGCCCCGGGTCCAGCACCCTCTGTGGCCCCTGGCTGCACTGACCGCCTGGGCCACGTCGTCCAGGGTGGCGGAGAAGGAGGCGATGAGCTGGTGTGGCAGCTGGCTCAGGAAGCCGATGGTGTCCACGTACAGCACGGCCAGCTGCGAGGGCAGCCGGCCCCCGTGGGCGGTGACGTCCAGCGTGGCAAACAGCTAATGCCGTGGCTGCGCGGCCTGGTCCCCGGTCAGCGCCCGGATCAGCGTGGTCTTCCCTGGAGGACATGGGACAGAACGGGGGTCACGGGAACAGCTGTGGGTGGAGGGGGCATTGACGGCCAGAGCAGGGGTCATAGGGCCTGACCCTCAGGCGCTGCCCCGTCCACCTGCTGCCTCCCTGTGGGTCACGTGGGGCAGGTCGCATGCAGACCACAGGATGGGACACCTGGGGGGTCACAGGAAGGAACGTGGGGACCTCACCCCCACCTGCCCCTCTCCTGGGCATCACCTAGTGGGTCAGCGGGTGACCACACCCCATCACCTTGGTTTCCCTGGAGACCAGGTGGGGGCCGGTCACAGGTGCAGCTGGACAGGGGTTCCAGGACAGGACTTGCACCCCCAAACCGCCCACCCCCCACCCGTGTCAGCTCCCAGATGGGCGACGTCCAGCTTGCGGTCCACAAGGGGGGGCAACACTGGATATCAAGGGGAGTGGAGGGGGCCACACGGCCTCCTTCCCAGAGACCCCAGGAGGGGGGACTGGTCAACAGAGTGCATGGGGGGACAAGGCGGAGGAGTGATGTGGGAGTGTCCAGGGGAGGATGTGGGGACAGAGGACATGGGGTGACAGGCTGGGGCAGGTGGGTGGACAGAGTGCAGAGGGGTGACAGGTGGGGAGGGGCCAGGGAATATCCTAGGGAGGGTGAGGGACACAGAGGAAATGGGGTCACAGGCCAGGGAGGGTCCAGGGAGCGTCCTGGACTGGGTGGGGGGACACAGAGAACATGGGGTGACTGGGTGCTGTGGGGGGGGGACACAGAGGGTCTGGAGGTGACAGGCTAGGGAGCATCCTGGGCTGGGTGGGTAGACAGATAGGACATGGGGTCACAGACTGTGGCAAATGGGGGGGGACACAGAGGACATGGGATGACAGGCTGGGGTGGGTGGTAGACACAGAGGACATGGGGTGAACAGGCTGGGGAGGAGTCAGGGAGCATCCTGGGCTGGGGCCAGAGAAGGTATCGGGGTGACAGGTGGGGAGGGGGTGAGGTGTTGGGAGCAGAGAGCACGGGGGTGTCTGGCCAGGGAGGGGGTGAGGAGTGGCCAGGGGTGAAGGAACCAGCACTGGACAACAAGCCCGCCCGCAGAGTGTGGCTGAGTGACCCCAAAGACCCCGCCTCTCGTCAAGGCATCAAGGGTCACCGTGAGCCGGCGTCCGGCCGTCCAGCAGGCTTCACAAACACAGGGGCTCTGGGGTCCTGGAGGGCTGCTGGCCCACACGTGGTCTGGCCCGTCCACCGCGGGGAGCCCCATCCCCCGTGAACACACCCCACCAGGGCCAGCTCCACCTCTGAGATGGTCAACCCTTTGTCCCTGGTCTCAGTCGTGGGGAAGGGGACGTCCAGGCCTCTATTTCTGCTCTCAGTCCTGGGGAAGGTAATGACCAGGCCTTTCTCCCTGGTCTCTCTCTTTAATAAAGGGAGCACCAGGCCTGTCCTCCTGGTCTCACATGCGGCCTCTATCCCTCCTGTCCGTCAGTCCAGCCTGTCTCTCTGTCCTGCGTATCCTGTGTCTCCTCCAGCGAGTGTGGAGCTGACCCCGGGCTTC